ATATATATTGATTCAGACCCGAATCCACGTATAGATTTTTTTCGTAAGCCGCTCTGTCGCGTGCGTGCGGCTATATATACATATACGAATGTTTGCTTACGAGAGTTACAAAGCGAGCGTCGTCTGCGGATAGACGCACCGTGTTTAACCTATAAACTTCATTATGGAACAAACACTTTGCACTGACATACACCTCGGCTGTGTATAATTGGGGAATTTTTTTTTTTCTTGCCATTTGACGCCGTCACGATATATTGGAGCCGATGCGAGTGATAATTAATGTACTTGGCAGTAACAATGAAACTCTACAACTATACTCCTTATATAAATATACCTACTACACTCCTTATTTTGACAGCTGCACAACACACGACACACACGCCAGAGTCTCGTATTGGCTGATGTACCACATAAGCGCCCAATATTTATCAAAGTACAACATTGAAGATGATCATGATAATAATGGAAGTAGAAAAATTAATGAAAAATACGTATACAAAACGAACCTTCAGGGAAAAATCTAATCACAGCCTTACATCACATTGATACAAATATTCGCGCACTGGCACACTCAGCCGCGAAATAAAATGTAGAAAAAACAACAACAAACTAAAAGGTATTTTAAGTAGCGGGGGCGCGCTTACTCGCGGCTCTGCCGTGTACCATACTGATACCGAAGAAGTAGATGATACGATGAGGAGGTGCGCGCGTTGGTATATCTCTTTATTTCTTATCCCTTTCTCTCTTGCGCTACTTCTTCCCTCTCGCGTATGGGCGCAACCGTATATTTATATATATATATATAGTCTTGACTCCGGTGACTGCACGCGCCAACAAAGATTTTTTTTTTAAAAGCTCGCAACAGCCTCACGGTGCTTTGCATCATCTATATGGTATTCCCCTCGGTTTATTGTAGTTGTTTTGACTTTTTACGGGTGGTGCGAGGGAAATATTTTTCATTCATCGGATAACTTGGTTTGTTTCTCATGATGTTAAAAGTGAGCTACGGTAAAATTCAATCAATGTGTCATTTCAAACATTTATTTCGAAATTTCACGTAACTAACTCATCCATGCGTGAATCAAAATTAATCTGTATTAAAAAAAAAAAAAAAAAAAACTCGAGCCTGTATATATACGTGTACTTAATTCTCACCCCAACTCGTGGGCGTACACAAACACACGTTTCACATCGAGGGGAGGAAATCGAAAAAGGATGTGTGCGCATACGTGCCTATATTCCTACCTATATACATACAAAAATGTGAGACCGACAGAAAAAAATGAATGAGGTGTGGGTGTACACATAACATATTATATTGTTGAAAGTCGTGGCGCATTGCTCGACTTTCATTGCCCGGAGGGGATAAGTACATCAGGCGGATATTAAAAAACAAGGCTTTGCTTTTTGGTCTTCTCGTTCCTCCCTCGAGGCGCTTTTGGGGCTTTTTTAGGAGATACTTACTCTCTTCTCTCACGTCTCTTGTGTGTCGAGGAGAAACTGGAGCAGCGCGAGCCAATAACTTTTCATAAACAATAACATTTCTCTACTGTGTTTTCGAGAGATCGATTTTGCCTTCATTAACGTTAGCGCATATATGTAGTACATTTTTTGATAAATAAAAAAAAAAAGATAAGGAAATGAACGGAATTTATTCATTAAGTTTGGTACTTAAAATTGTTTCAAGATACGTCAAGTCTAAACTATAGTCAATGAATTTCGTTGAAAACTACTGACCAAGTTTGAAAAACTACTTAAAATTAAAACGTATTTTTTAACAAATGACTAATTTATGACTAATAGGGCGCTTCGGCACGTGAGACAAATTTAATTTATTTGTCAACGCAGTAAACGGTAAATAACGTTTTGCACGAAAAATGAAAGAAAATGTATTTGAAACCTGCAAAATGTCACGAATATAGTATGAAATTTTTTTCATTTCAGTTGCTGGGAATATTCTCCTCTTGATACTAGGGCACCGAAAACCGGATATATACCTACCTACGTACCACGGACGAGAGAAAAAAATGCTTAGATCGCACGTTTATTGCCACCCGAGATCAAGCCGACGTGTATCACTTTCACGTTCTAGGTGAGTGACAATTTTTAAATCCATACAGTTGATACAAGCAAAATAAATAAATTTTCAAAGTACAATTTTTGTATTGACTGTGCCTTTACGCGTACCACTCGTTATTCGATATTTTTGTAGCTAGTTTTCACAGCGAAACAGAAAAATTTTACGATCAAATTTATTAAATATGAATTTAAGAAAGCAATAAAAAAATGGTAACTCTTCGGCCAGGAGAAATAAAAATTTTTTTGTTTTTGTTTGATTATCACCCATTAAAGTTAAACAATTCAAGTGTATTGATTGAATCTCAAGAAAGTAGCCCTACAATTATTTGTTTTCACTCGTTTACAACTCATAGTTGTAGGGGCCTTGAGTAAAGTAATTGCGTGGAACGAAAATGCGAGTATCAAGTTAGTTGCTGGTTAATACCAGAGGTACCTGCATACGGACGTGTAAATTTTTTTAGAAATTTTAATTCTTTGGAAATAAAGCTAACGTTATTTGATATTTAATTTGGACATGTTTGTGTATACGTGGAAAATCAATGAAAATATTTTATTCCAATATTATATTTAATAGAAGCAGTTAAAAAACGTGTATTTTTTATTGAAAGAAAAAAATATTTTTTCTTACTTTGGGCGTATTTCCTGACCTTACAACGTTCGAGCATCAGACCAGGACAGTCACAAAAACCCTTATGTTGCCCTAGTAAACGTATACCACTAATTACCAAAAATATTTTTTCCTACTTCAGGCGTTTTCGAGGGTCGGATGTGCCCTTGGTAAGAAAAACAGTGTTCGGCACACAAGTGCCATCCACCCGGGGCTACCTTACGGTCAGCAAAATAGCCCCAGAAGCGATGGCACTTTTGTGACGAAAACTTATCGTTTCTGATTACACATGTAGTTTGTCAATGTATCGCAAGAAATATTTATGATCAAAAACAAATGTGATGACTCATATAAAGCTCAAGGTTTAATGATCCATTGTTATAGTACAAGAAAAGACGCTGCAACCTATATACCGCAGTGGTGCTTGTACCATCCATTACACAAAAAAATATCAAGGAATATGAATTATCACAAGTGGTTTCTTTAAAATTATATTTTCACATCAAGAGTAAATCGACTGGTTCTATTAATGGGCAATCAGGTCAAAATTTAGAAATAAATAGTACTTACTGTTACTCTTTCCATCATTCCGTTTGCACTGCGATACAGTTGTAAATGAATCATATATTTTAAAATCAAGATAATTTCATATTAATTGTAGAAAATGTCAAGGTCATTTAAATACAATTGTTTAAAAGCCAGTTTTTATTGAAAAATTCAAATAACTCCACAAATTATAACTATTTCAAAGGAGAACTGTCACGTTATTACAAATAATACATAAAAATTCAGCATCCTTTTGTTCATTTCGATAAATTACAGACAATAACTTGCGTAGATGTACATTTCCGTTTCCGTCTCTCTCGCTCATTTACATATATCGACGATGCATCGTGTAATTGCGCTCTTGGCTTAACCAACTTTCTTTTCCGCTCTTTTTCTTTTGGCCCTATTTCCCTTATTTTTCTTTGTTTTTTAATGAGTAGTGACACACTGTCCACTCGCACGATTCAACTCGTTAATACAAAGTACAATAATTCACAACTAAGCACTGAAACAGGTGCGAGATAAGCAATGCTTCGAACGTGGACTAGAGCTCGAGTGAAAAGCAACGCACGTTTGTACCGACAAAATACTGATTTTACGAAAATTAAGTCGCTTTTTGATTTTGTCATTCGAGGATTCGATTAAAAAGCTCACATTCACATATTTACTACGTTTAATTCAAAACGCATACATTTAAGTAAATGCAATGTCATAAATACATTTTCTCATCATAGACGATGCAATGTTAAAGTTAAAAAAGAAAAATATTTCTCAAGACAATGACGATCATTTTCACAAGTAAATGTTGTTACATTTAAGAAATGCAGCAACAATTTTATCGCGAGCCGTCTCCGTCGTATGACGTTTGAATGAAAGAAAAACTCGGTCTTTGGTAATACTATACTCCACGCTCAGCATAAAACACGCGGTCCACGTCCGAAAGCATCTTGCCCCCATTTATTTAATGCCGACAATACTTTCGTCATAAGAAAGTGCAATTGAATAATTGGAAAATAAACAAAAGAAAGAAAAGAGTAGAAAGAAAAGTAAAATGTTCCTTCCCTTTTTTTTCTGCAACATTTATAATACTCGTCGCTTATTAATTTTTATTTTCACTTTTAGGTCCATCGAGAATCGTAGTCCTACTTAAAGTCTATTATAAACCTTACTCACTTCTTTTTGTCTATAATAATTGCTATACTGTATAAATGCAGCTATTTTTAATACTAACTTCTTTCCGGCGTCTGTTCGCTTGCTTTTCTTTCTTTTCTTTTTATCATAATATTACTGTTACTTTATTATTTAATATTTACGTCATTTTTTACTCGTTACCTATGTTTCTTGTTTTGCGTTAATTTTTTGTTTTTATTTTATTTTTATTTTTTTATAAAAAAATTCACCAAGATGCAACAAGTTTGACCAATCGTTTTTCGTTTTAACGAATTTTTTTTTTCCCACAAAAATGTGTAGTACTTGTTCCATTAACGCTCGTATTTTTATCGTTTCGCGTTGTGCATTTACAGTCAATATTATGAGTTACACAACGACAATATTACTGAAATATGCCATCAAAAAAGTGGGATCCAAAACCACTGGGGAAAAAACTGTGGTCAAACAGCGGCGGCTCGCCGATTACAAATTTACAATTACGTAGTGTGTGTCGGTTTTTTCTTTTTCTTCATCAACTTGTAAATTGTAGAATAAAAAATAAATATATCATATTGGAAGAGCCCATGTAGAATCATATATATTTATATACATTACAAAAAGGACATGTATTTTGCGCATAAAATCGAAAAAACAAATTAAAGTACTTATTCTATACAATAATGATGTTTGTAAAAATTGACGCTAAATGACGATGAATCAATCAATAAATTTATTAATTACTCTATGAAAAAAAAGGATATACAATGTAACTTATTTTAACGCCATTCGTGGACGCCTCATATAAAAAAGAGAATCACCAAGTGATTGACCATTACTCGGAAAGAGATTATCTGGTTCGTGTCACTAATGTACTTTCTCACTGTCTTTTTACTTATTTCGAAGAGAAGCAAAACGATAAGTTCTTACCTCGTGCAAAGGACGCAAAATAAAACACAAAAGCGTTGAAGAAGCGCCTTATTCAATTTATATGATCCATATAAATATATAAAAAGTATAAAAAAGCCGAAAAAAGATTCAACTTTTTCCGTTTCGTTTTTTTTTTATTTTAATTTTTTTTCTTTTTTTCTTTATTTCGTCTTACTTCCACTTTTCTCTGCTTCCCCTCTACGAAAATTAAAAGACAATCGTCTGCTTCCTCCTGTCTTTGTTTCGCCCCTTCTCTCTTTCTTTTTCGTGTTCGTTTCATTAAATAACTAAAATTTAATCGTTTAATTACTTTTGAGACGCTTCGCCGATTTCCACCGATGAAACTATACTCGCGTTACACATTTGCTCGTCGTGTCTAGACTAGAAAATTCGCCATCTCGAAATTTCCCCAAAGTAAAAAAAAAACTAAGCCGCAAAGTGGAACGTCGTATAATGCGTTGATGTGAATAAAAACAACAGCAGCTTTCGCACTGGACGATTCCACTTAACGACTGTACAGATATTATTAGGGTTGAATTACTTGAAAAAGTGGTCGGTGGAAGCTCGAGAATAAGCGTTCAAGGATGCCGACAACGCAGAAAGTCTCGCGCCTCAATAATCTGGAAAATCTTAGCAAGACAGAATACTTTAATAAGAGTCTCACACATTCTTGTTCCTAATAGAGTTTAAATCCGTTGCTCGCTCGCACGACCAGTCATCTTGTGTTATACTAATTTTTTTTTCTCTTTCTCTTTAGCCTACTTTTCGTCATCACTCGAGTCGTACAATTCGATTATGCTCAATTTTTTTTTGTTTTTCTTTTTTTCTCTTTAATTTACATCCTACTTTTCCGACAAATATGTAAACTTTTCAGAAATTTTCGTTTTATTTTGTATAAAGTGTAGGCAAACTGATTTTGTTTCGTATAAAAATTTTTTCGTTATCGCGCCGTCAATTTTAAAGTAACTCGAATAGTTATCGTGTTTCAAAAGTTCTCTTATTTAAAGATCAAGTTTAAAAGTTTAATTACACGCTTGGACTCAAAAAGTGGGTAAAATGCATCAAACACGTGATTTTTCTAAATCATGACGATCACAATACAAAAATGTGTAAACATCTATACAAAAAAAGGCAGTTTATCGATGCGAAAAAAGTTGAAGATTTCTCAAGTTTTTCGCGGAATGTGAACACACTCGTTGACATTGTAATATTTTATAAAGAAAGTAAATTTCAAAATGCGGAATGCCCATAAACGCCACGAGTTTGTTTTACAAAAAAAACGTTAAAAGTCCCTGGACACCTTTATAAGTAGAATAACTGTAATAATGATATAAACGCTTTGTAAACCCGACAATATGGAAACAGCTTTGTAAGGTAAATAAATTGTAAACACATTATCGAATAGGATTATCAATTATTTGCGTAAACTAAAAAGTAAAAAAATCACAAGTTTTATTTATCTTTTATGTGGTTTGTAAAAATCTACTCATGTGTGCTTCACAAACAACAATACTTCAGATTTTAATAGAAATCAAACAATCCAGAAAGTGATTTATGGACCGCAACTTGTTCCATCAACTGAGTGAGTTTTTATTGCATAGGCAATACGTCATGATAATATTAATGATTGGCAGTGTGTGTTAAATTTTTCGGTTAGTAAAGCATGGCTTCGTCAATAAGTAGGAGAGATTGTCTGTTTTTTTAAAAATTTTTTATTGTGCGTGTTGCACATTTTTACGTGCCCACTCATTTGATCCAATAAAAAAAAGGTCGCCGAGTCGCTGCAAAATCACAAAAGGTACGAGTCTGTCAAAGCTCCAGAGATTTCATACACGTCCGTGCATGTATAAAAAAACCGTAACACGCTAATTTTTCATCGAAGCAGGTACATTATACAGTTAAAAAATGTACGTAATGAAACAATTACAGTTTGTGCAACAAATAGGAAATTGTTTTTTTTTAATTAAAAAAAAAAAAAAAAATCATCTCATAAACTCGCGTTTACACTTTGACGTACTCGCACGGTAGACGACTTTTTTTTCTTCACCACGTGTCCTCACTTATCCTTAAAATGCAACGAGCCTGCGTCCGTCTTTGTTTATTTTTTATTTTATTATTATTACTTTTTTTTAAATTTTACTTCGTGATATATAATATATCAAGCTATATAATAACGTACTTACACACAAATGGCTGATATACATGGATATAACTACACTGTACTCGCGATTGCGTGATAAAAACTTACGTACACACACGCGCGTGCTCGTATTTATGTAGATGGGTTTGAGTAAATGTCGATGATGCTTCGATTGAGCTATCTAGTCAAATCTCTCGTTCGTTCGTCACTATTGTTAGACCACTTCATTTACTTGAATCCAGTCTGTTTTATTTACGCCCTTCACCTTTACCTTCTATTCAGTTCACTTTTTAGAGCTGAAAAAAAAAAAAAAAATAAATAAACAAAACATGTTTCAAACATTACGTTAACTTTAAAGAAAAATTTTTTTATACAGGCAAAATGCTTACCATCAATAATCTCGAGCTTCATTTTTTGGATCTCTTTCCGGACCTCCTTCACGAGTTCCGCTTTGAAAGCGTCCATCTCTTGTGGCGTGATCGACGGGCCTTCGTTGACGCCGTTAACCTTCAGTAGAGTATCTTCGGACGCGGAGCCAAACCTCTTGCGATGAGCTTTCGGTGATTCGGCGCCATTTGAGAATTTATTATTGCTAGCACTATTTGAGATCGAGGAATTACTTTTGTCCCAGGATTTTTTATCCGGTGAACTATCGGGTTCCTAAAAAAAAAAACCATTGACAATTTCATCGAATGCTCGCAACGTCAAAAGGATTCAACAAAGGATTAAAAAAACAACTAACCGGTGTTTGGTCGGGCTGCTTCTTTTCAACAGCAGCTCTTCGGCGAGCTAGAGTTTTGGCCATTTCGACCATCATAGCGTTGATGCCGACTCCTTCGCCTCCGTCTCCGCTGCTGCGTCCCAGAGTCCCGTAATTTCCGCTTCCGCTGCTGCTCGTGCTCGATCCACTGTTTTCTACAGCCTGAGATTGCTGTTCATAGAAACAGAATATCATTATTTTTCAATCCACGCAAAAAACATCCAAACTAAATTAGTGTTCAGTCGTGATTACATCGAAAGTTATGAAACATGAGTTGATAAGGATACGATGGTTCTCTCATCTAATATTATGAAACGAAAAAAAGAGAACTAGGACTACGAGATGAAGACGAAAAAAATAAGTTATGTGATGTCCTTTTATGCTGTTCGTGGCAAAAAGGTATGAGGCGAATGAAACTTAAAACAGAGTTGTTAGAAACGTTGAATGTTACCTGCAACTTCCAAAAGTGCAAGCTGTGAAAACTCTATGGGAAGATTTATGAAATTTTACACCATTTTCGAGCCAATAATCGGGAGATTAATTCGTTTGGCAACTATAGTATACACAAGAGGTGTAAAATCACACAAACTTCCAGAAGTACTGCGATAAAAACACATGAGGCTGAATGTTATAGATTTAAAAGAGAGTAGCATTGTTAAGTAAGAAAAAGCCTATCGTGTCGATGCAAAAGATCACGTACAACCAGTTTGGATGGATTGCTTATTATGGGGTGACGAAACCCTTGAGAGCAGAGAAAGGAGAGATAAAACCAGCAAAGCTTCAACAAACAAACCTGTTTCTTTCTGAGCTTGGCCTGCAGAGCAGCCGCGAGCGAGTTGACGTCGAGAGCAGGTGGCGGACCATCGTCTTGCGCCACCAGCCTGGCGCTTGGCGCTGGCGGTGGCGGAGGCGGAGGCGGGGCCGACACCTGCTGCTGCGGTGGCTGTTGCTGCTGCAACTGCATGTGCGGCGCCATCGGGGGCGGAGGCGGCGGAGCAGAGACCACCGTCTGCTGGACGAGGCCTTGGTTCAAGCCAGCCGCCGCCGCGGCGACACTGCCAACGGGAGCATAAGCATTAACCACCTCGGGTTGGGTGCTGATGTAGGCCTGATTGATGCTATTCGCCGGCGTGCCGTAGGGGTTGACGATCACGGGACTACCGGCGGCCGAGACGACGGTGGCGGTCTGCGCCAGGGGCTGCTGCGACACGACCGGGCCGTACGGACCCTGGCTGACGTAAGGGCCAGCTGTCGAGGGCAGCGCCGCGTACTGACTGTTCAGGGACGCCCGACTGCCGTACTGATTGTTCGGAGTGTACTGTTGCACCGGGTACACCATCGTCTGGGGACCCTGAGGCTGCTGCTGCTGTGGCTGGCCGCCGGTCGTCCCGTAGATCCCGCCAACCCCCGCTGAGGCTGCCTGCTGGGACTGGGGCGACTGCGCGTACTGTTGTGCGATGGCCCCGGGGAAGTTGATCATCGACGGAGCCGGTGGCGCCGCTGGTGGCTGAGGCGGTGGCACTGGGGGCATCTGCTGCTGCTGCTGCTGCTGCTGCTGCTGCTGCTGTTGAATCACCACTGCCTGCTGACCCGGGGGCGCCGGGGCCGGAGGCGCTGACGAGGTTCTGTGGTGACCCGACTGTTGCTGCTGCTGCTGCTGCTGTTGGCTCATGTTCGACGGGCAACTGGGTGATATTGCGTTGAGACCATTGGGCACTGTGGAATTAATGAGCGTAAAATTAAAATCATTGCGACCAATTGGTCGGATCCGTTGAATCGAAAGCAGACGAATCGAAGGATGCAATGTAAAAATAACTCGGACTATAAGTAGACAAGAGCAACGACAGGTCGAGGGATATTTTTAATTGTCAAGCCGAGGAGGAGTAGTAAATAGATGCGCGAGCGGGAGGTCAATTAGAGCGGCTGTGCGACAAGCGATTACGAACCGGATGCTACTGTGGAATGAAACAAAAAATACATCACACCGCGCGTCTGTGTACCAAGCCTCCGTGAACGAAGCGATACTCGAGTCGATACGACAAAGTGCTGTACTCGAGCCTATCTACGATCGCGGAATAACAAGTGCGCCCTCAGAGAGCCATAATCGGCGAAATCGTTCGTTAAACCCCGTTGAGGGCGCATTCATGAATTTCATCAGTTTTTTTTTTTTTTTGACGGCTCTGTGTCAATCCTCCGGGTGCTCGCAAACACGCAAAAACATCAAGCTGTAGAACAGTTAACGGCGGATAATTCGTAAAAGAGAGAATCTGCATTGCAGATAGTGTGTGCGCGGTTAGCGCTGTATACACCAGCGTCGAGCTATCAATACTTTTCTGGGTCAGCGTCGTAAAAGTGAGACGGTTCTGTTTTTTTTTTTTTTCTCCTCTTGTGGGCTCGCTCGGTCGAAACGACCGGTAAGCATGTACCTGCACCTTGTGCGAAACGGAAGAGACGCATTACCGATTCTGTGTATACACTAACCTTGGTTTTGTTGCTGCTGCTGGGACGACATCCTGCGCTCCTGAATTATAGCGACGTCCTCCCTCGTCATGGTCCTGCGGAAAGAAGATACATTATCAACTTTTCCTCGCGCGAATCGTCTGGCGATCCGTTGAAATACCGCGAACCGATACCTCGACTCGATCGGATCATTTTCTTCCAAAGGGAGTCAAATTGAATTTCCGACGACAAAAGAAAAAAACAACCCCCCCACGCGCTCAGATAAGACATTCAGTTGGAGAGGAAGCTATAATAGCGTTCGGTTCGCACGCGCGCCTTCCAATCGAGCCCCCGAGCCTTGCACACGCGAAACGGCAGCGCCACTTTGTGCTTCCCCGTTAAAATTGTTAATCGCGCATAATACACGAGCGTAAGTGGGTTGGTACATCCCGCGAGCGATAGATGAGATTTCCCCGCGTCGCTCACCTATATCCCATGTCCTCCTCGTACTGTCCGTTCGGCTGTTGCTGGACGATTTGCTGCTGCTGCTGCTGCTGCTGAGGATAGTTCATCGGCGGTTGCTGCTGTGGCTGCTGAGTGGCGGGAGCTTGTTGGCCGATAGTCCGGGGTATCGTCGTGCCATTACCGCTCAGTATCTGATGAAAGAGCCAAAGAGAAACGCGATCGTTAGTCCAACGGTAAATTAAAGTTTCGATTTATACATCCGATCCCCGATGGATAAAGACTCGAAAACCCTACATGTTTTTTTTTTTTTTTTATATATATTGATTGATGCATTTTTATAGACTGTTGAGACAATTTCATGAAAGCGCACTTGGCGTTCCGTAATTAATCTACGATGTAAAATGAAGCATCACGAGCGGTACATGTAAAATGACAAACAGTAGCACGTACTTAAGATTTTGCGAGTGTCAAGTGTATAATACGCGATATAAAAAGCCAGAACAATAAATCCGCGGAAGCACGACGGAGAGGGGGACTCAAGTTCGCGTTTTCCGTACAAAGCCTGAAAATAGATCGTCGCCCAATGTTATTTTTAGTCCCTCCTCCGAGGGCGTGTTGTTACAATATCCAATAATGGATATGGTTAAAAGCTCGCCCAAGTGTGCCCTTTACACCACACCGAAATATAATATTCCCTGGGCGATTGAAGTGATGGGGTGCAGTAGGAAATTGGGCCTTACATCGAGAGCCGAGAGCATGGCCTTGGCGAAGGCGTCGGCGTCCTCTTTGCTGGAAAAGTTGAGCCCGTAGACTTGCTTGTTGTCGCGCCATTGGTGGAAATTGGCGGTCGCCTGGTTGTACTTGAGGCCGCGCAGTATCGCGCAGTTCATCACTATCTCGTGGTCCTGGAGTTTCCGGCCGACCACTCGGAAGGTGTTGTTCACCTGGTGGTGGTACAACTGGACCTTGGACAAACCCGACGAGCTGCCCGACGGCACCCACTTCTTGTTCACGTCGTCGTAGACCATCACCGAGGCCCGAGCCGACGATATGCTCACTTCGCTGAAAATTGTTCATCACAAGTAAGTACATCATTCCATTCCTATACATGTAAAACAAATAAACGAATCATTTGTAACGTTGTGTGCATAATCTCATGGAAAGCGAGATGCGAGCGCGTGAGCGGTACGAGATTCGTATCGAGTTCCATCGGAGAAAGAAGTCTAAACAAATTGATACCCGCACGGGCATCAGAAGAGATATTGCACGCCGAGAAGAATATAATAGACCTGCACTTGAGTGTCAAGTGTTTTTCTTATCTATTTTCAATGAAAAAAAAAAAAAAAAAAAAAACATATCTAACGACGCGCTTTTTTTTTGCTGCAAGTTGCCACGAGGCTAACGTGTAATTTGATGAAAGTTCTTTTCATCTCATCTCTTTGTGTTATAGGCGACGTGTTATACATGTATATGGTATACGTGCCCACCTAGTTACGCAACGCTTCAAACTGCACGTGCACGAGCACTTCGGAAATAATCGCTTTCTCTCATAAATCTTTGATAATTCTCACGCCGCGCGAGCACGATGTTTCTCTCTTCTTTCCACCTTCACGAATATATTGCACTTATTACTTCGCATTTCGTGCTTATATACATATAAACGTTTGAATCGAAATGATTATGTAAAAGATTTATGTAATAGGCGTCGTTGGACCGAAGCAAAGAGAAAAACACACAAAGCAAGTTTTATAAGCGCGACGTATATGACTGTTGGGGGAGTGGAAAGTAAAAGTAAAGGTCAGAGTTTTTCCAAGTCGCGGAAGCCCGGCGCGTCGTTAAAGACGTCGTTTTTCCCGTGGCCGCGTGGCGCGATCGATACATTATCCGCGTGCCTACGCACGTGAAAGCCGACTCTCCTCGCGTGTCCTCCCGGTTTATGCAAGTGGATACGCTAAACGCGCGTAGATCGGTTAACATCAGGTTTGCAGGAACGAAGAGTAAAAAAAAAAAAAAGGTGTTACATCGTGGGTGGTTTTTTTTTTGTACGCACTCAATGAAGCGTATTATATTTGAATAAACGGCACATATCGTATACGCGTGTAAATTAATTTGTATACAAGCATAAGTACAATGGTGGAAAAAGTACGACAGAGCGATTTATCATCGTGGCTGTTTTACGGAGAAATTGAGGCTTTGTGGATACAAGGTCTTTTGTTATCGATATGTAACGAATGATTGAGTAAATCTATATACACATGACGTTTCGGTGAATCAGCACCTGAAAATCCAATCGACGACGACGCTTGTCTAAACCATCTGCTTTCTTTGTTCCTCAAAGTTAATCGGCGCATATCGTACAATTCGGAATTTCTCTTGCATTTTTTTTTTTTTTTTTTTGGTGAAAGATTGAGATATCCCAATTAAAGCACGTTTCGAAAGATTCTCCCTGACGCTATCAAGTAAAATGAACAGGCTTTTTTTTGTTTGGTAATACCAAATTCCGATAAACCATTACACTCGAAGTTAGGATCTTCAAACAATTATAAATCGATTTGAAGAATCGCTTCTACGATTTATTTTTATCCTCCTATGTTTATTAATACCTAACGAATATGCTGCAGCGTCAATGCCGATGAAGAGTTGAATTACAAGTAAAAATCGCTTGGGCGGTGAAAACAACAACTATATGATCCAAATCCAAAGCAAAGGTGACGAGTAAACTTGGCCAAACGGCTCCGTTAAAACGAGAGTTTTCAAATGTACGCGTGACACTTTACGTCATCCCAACGACTCCAAAAGTGGCGATGACCCAAAAAAAAAAAAAAAAGGCACTTACTCTCCACCACCCACGTGAGCGCGGTTTCTCCAACACTCACCCGCGGGAAATCGCTTCGTAAACTCTGAAATTATCCTACGGACACGCGTGCATGTTTCCTCTCTCTCTCTCTCTCATGAAACGCCGCGAAAAAAACGGAACCAAAGCAGAGGCGATTTTCTCTTTTGACGTTCGAGTTTCCACTCGAAAATAACACAGAGGGGGCCTCTGTACACACACAGTGTAGGAAGTAAAAACCCAATGAACGCGACCATGTAATTATTAGTTCCGCTTCCTCCAAAAAGCCCGTATTTAATATATAAATGTGTACACATGTATATATGTCGTATAAATGTTCACACAACACCCACTCCCCAATTTCTTGTAGCTATACAATATACACTCACAAACCGCAGCATCACCTCCCCCGCGCCCCTTGTTAGGTACAAAAGCCAACTCGCGCGTATAATATACCGTAACTGTAAATCCTCCGTACACCAGCGAGGCCTCGGTGCACATCGGGTCTATTGTACACACTAGCGGTTATTCTTTTTACCATTTCCAATCGTACTGCTTATTGTAAGCGAGCACCGGAGCATCGACGATCTCGTTGCTGTCGGCGGCTTGTCCCGGTCTGCCACCGGGAAACGTCGGCTCGGCGTAGTGAGTCGAGGAGGACGAGGACGACGAGGACGAGGACCTGCGCCCGTCACGTTCCGGCGGGCACGGCGACTCGATCGGCCGGGTGGCCAACAGCCGCGCTCGCGAGCGCTTCGACTCCTCGACCCCCATTCGCATCGTGTACAGGCCGCTCGAGCTGAACGCGTTCATTGCTCCTATACTCCTAATATTATATTGTCACGGGTACTTGTAAAGGTTCACTGCTTATAATGTACACTACTTTTATTTTCTTTTTCTTTTTTCTTTTTCTTTCACTATGTACACACAAGCACAATTGTCGTTGTTGCTCCTCACGGTACAATAGAACTTGACACACTACTCGATTGCCGATGAGTTGGTCGAGTTAACGACGAAACACTCGAGCGCGCGCCGATACCGATAAAAGAATGAGTAGTGCATCATGCGCATACACGACGTTAAGTATTTTTATACACGTCGCAGCACAGTATAGGTACATAAACACCGAGGAAAAATAATGTAACGCAATGGACGTAAGTAACGGAGGAAAAGCAACTGGCCGTCATCGTTTTGGTGTCCGTGTGACTGGTAAGATCGGTAATGGCATGGCAGCGGTGGCAACCGAGGCACGGGAACTCTCGTCGCGGCAGCGCAACATGACTGACTGACTGACTCCTATATAGGTACACCTTATGCCTGGTTGGCCATCGGCTGCACAGAGGCCGGCTGGCGGGCGCTCTCCTTTCCTTCCCCCTCCCGCCCTTCTCTCTCCTTTTATGTGCCTACCCACACGCTCCGCGAGAAGCTCTATATAGGACTTTAGAACTGCGGCGCAGGGAGAGATTCAGAGCGAGAAAGAGAGAGAGGCCAGAGGAGTGAGTGTGTGTGCTGCGGAGCGCGAAAAACGAGAGCAAATGTAGGATGAAAATATGGGATACGCCGCGGCGGGACCTCGCGAGCTCTCCTGGCTACTGTCTTGCGCTATATAATATACACGCGAACGACCCGCGACTTCCTCTCTCTCTCTCTCTCTCTCTCTTATTTTTCCACTTTGCTCCTTTTTCCCGCTGCTACACTTACCGCTCCCGTAGCATACGCTACAAGTACTTCCAACGCTGTATATATATACCTTGCATACACTTGTATATAAAGGTATACGATGATGGGAAAGAGAAAGAGAGCGTCGTACAGTATACCTATATAGGTGCAGCACTTGGGTATATACATCTCAGATTCTGTTACTTAGTTTGTTCGTTTCCCATCTCCCTCTCACTACTTACGTATGGACTCGCATACCTATACCTACCAACTTCGTTGCTCACTCACTCGCGCGATACGTTTCAGCAACTTCCGGTATGCTTCGCACATGTAAGTGTGGTCGCGCGTGCGTGAGTCTATTTTTTTTTTTTTTTTTTTTTTTAAATGACTCCTATTACTGCTAATTCTCCCCGTTTTCTTTTTTTCTCTTTCTTCTTGTCTACGTATCATTTTTTTATTACCCCCACCTCCACCTCTTGTGAGTTTAGCTTACTCACCATCAACGAGAGAGAGTTTTGTTTCTCCTACTTTTTTTTTTTTTTTTAAGGATTACATTATTCCCGGTGTGTCCTTTATTTTGTCGTTCGCGGTGCTCCGCTCACGTGGGAAGTGAAAGGGGGCTCCCGAGAAATCAATTGTTTCGGTCTGGACTGTTGGGTCGGGTCGCATATACATACTTTATACATACAGCGAGTCTGAGCAAACGATGAGAGACATTGTTGTTGTTGTTTTTTTTTTTTTTTTTTTTTTGCAATGTCGCATGTACTTTTTTATCGCAAGGGATGTTTTTAATAGAAGCATAGTTGTCGTGGTCGTTGCTATCGGCCGAGAGAGGAAACGAAAGCGCGTGAGGAGGACGTTATCGCGGGTAGGATACAAATGTGACTAATTTATTGCGTGCTTTTGATCAACTTGTTTTTCAATTCTCCGGACGACGCTGTACCGCTGCATGAATATATTTTTTGTACTCCTCCGACTGCACCGATTAAGTTGACTTTGAATTCCACGGGTGCCTTTTATGTACCATCGATAGAAATGTCATTGTTTTTTTAATTTTTTTTTATTATTATTACTCATTGTTTCAGAGTGCACCTTATGAATATGTCATAGAATCGGAATTAAAAATTATAATCGTCGAGTGGCAGTATCGCCTTATTACGAAGAAGTGTCCTGTGGACAAATAAAATTAATTTACGACTCGACTCGTGCCAAGGTAAAAACAAATGATGAATTTTTATGCATTCAAAATATAATTTTCACGAGTAAAATTATATATGTCTAACCGTCAAACTGGAATCACATAACATAAGTACATTATATTCGTAACGCAACAAACGAATTCACACACAAGCCTTGCTCATTGTATATGAAACAGCAAAATTGTATCGCGACGCTTTTGTTATACTCCGATTCCGCGCTTTATACACTCAATTTCTTTTTTTTTGTCGTAAGAGAAACAACTCGACCTCGTTCCCCTCTTTTTTTTTTCCCGATTCATGAATCTATTTATCCCCCGTGTCTATTGCATTCCGACACTCGAAAGCAGATGCAAAAATCAAAGTCACGCCTTCGCGTGTCGAGAGTCGTTGCGCTGCTGCAGCCTATTTCTCCCTTTGACCCCTTGGTTTTTTTTTATCCTCCTCCATTCATCATCGACCACGTACACAAAAAGCTCCGTCGAGTCAAAGAAACCCACGAAAAGGAATGACACAGTTTCAGCTGCACTTTTACAATTTCTCGCGTATATATCACACTTTGGTTAATTAAAGCTCGCAAAAGAAGAAGAAAAAAAAGGCTATCGCGGCATTTTCATCATTCACGCGTAGCTCACTGAAAGGAGGAAAAAAAGGGTCCCCTTTTAAAAAGAGAGAACAGGATTCAGCAGAGTTTGCGCAAGTGCACATACATACATAAACGAGAAAGCAAGCGCGGCTCTCGGACAAAAGAAAGATTTTCGTCACTCGCGGTGTGGGCGTAAGACGCAAGGAGGGGAGCTTTTTTTTTTCTCTCGATCTTACGCGCACACATATACCTGTTTATTTCGAAAAGCTTGAAAACACAGGGCTGGTAAAAAGTTTATTTCGAAATGGAGGAAGACTGCCGCTGGAGGGAGGAATAAACGTGATTTATAAGAGCCGCGCGAGAGAGAGAGAGAGTCAAAGAATAGGGGGCTGCTTCTTACTATCCGTGCGAGTATCGTGTCTGTGAGCGAATAATCAATAATATTGCCACGCGACTTTTAACTTTTGCGCAGCCACGGAAGGAGAGTTCGTTGCGACCGAAAATTATCACTCGTTGCACTGAAAAATGTATCACAGGAGCTAAAAATTACGATGCCTAGGCACGCGTGCCGAAGTTCATTATAGAGAGACAAAATTCATAAGCAGAGCAGCAAAAAAAAATTATAAAATTAATTCCAACAACATCGACGACGACGTTTGCAGCCGTGATGCGGTTGTGTCTATTTTCCGCGAATTTATTTTATTTGCTTCCCACGAAAGCTCGCAACAAGAGATGGACTCTCTGGTGCTCTTCGGCGAGCACACACCACTCCTCGGACACCGACAAATATTATATATATTATACACATACTTGTGTAACGATAACGCGAAAGAGCATCGGTATAATAACACATTGTACATACGAGAAGCATCAGCATTTTGGCTTTCTCTTTTTGTCTCCCTTGAAAGAAAGCAAGAACTCTATATACATGCGTCACTCGAGAAAGGGAGAGCCGTTGCATATACGCGTGGTCCTCCTCCTCTTCTGCTGTACCAAGATATATGAAGCTGCATGATATTATATACACCATCAGCCAAGGTAAGATGTATACAATATATATATACTCTTTTTCTCGGCTTACGGTAGCAAAGCAGCAGATAGCCGCAAGGCTCTCTCTTTCTCTCTCGTGCTTATTTTCCCTCTTTTAGCGTAAGCTGAAACTCAAGAGCCTCTGCTGCACTATACATACTTATACTACAAGCAAAGGAAGAGAAGAGCGGATTCTATTTAGCTGCACACGCGTGTGAATATTATGTTTACGCGCATGTATAGTTTTTGCGCAGAATAATGATAATAATTATACTGAAAAAAAAAAAAAAAAAAAAAAATTGTATATGCAATNCCACACGTAAGTACATGTTAACTTGCACAACTCGGTTAAAAAAGTAAGGAGCGGAGAAAACTAAAAATAGACGACAGGAGGATGCTGGACTGTCTTCCTCAACCCCACCTGTGTGTATACACGTTATTTACGCGTCTCTCTGCTTCCCTCAAAAAAAAAAAAAAAAAAAAAAAAAAAAAAAAAAAATTGTATATGCATCATCATAGACTTTGCTACGTATGGGCTGTGGTAAAAACTACACTACAATCAGTCCTGGTTCTTTCGAGCATGGAGCTAAGTTGCGCAGTAGAAGTAATGAGTAATTATTGTCAGTACTAAAAAAAAATCATGCCAGAACAGTAGGCAGTACTCGGTCGTCAGCTTGACTATTTGCTCTATAATACGTTCTTACAGTACTTGGAATCATTTTTTTTCTTTTTTTTTTTTTTTTTTCAGCGCAGCATATAATATATACGCGGAGCAGAGAGAGCAACCACAACGAGGGCTAGACTCGCCTTAATTTTCTTGTTTCTCATAACATGTATCCGCGTGTATATATACCTACACATTATACATACGTGTGTGTGCGCGTGTGTGTATGCATTGCGCTCTTTATGCTCTGAAAAGTTTGAATGATCGCACGAGCGCAAAAAAAACCACCTGCTCTCTCTATACGTGCCATATGGCTATATAGCTACTGCGTTTTTTTAATAATGATTATAAGTGTCGAGAATCTCCATCATGTGGACCACGAATCGAGTAAATTCATCTGTAAGTATAATATGAGGTATGTGCCGTAGAAGCACGGCATGATAAGTTCAATTGCAGATATGTATTGTTGTACAAGGTACATACGCGAGCGCCGCCGCTTACTGGTTACTATTACAGAACGAGAGAGACAATTAGCGCGATGGCAAGTGGCACGTTACGCGTTATGAATGTGTATATACATATTATAATAGCATTCATGACTCGAAGCAAAGTCTTTCCTGACTGGTTTTCCAGCTGAAATTCTTCATAATTATTACGTGCATATCACATACACGCGCATAATATGTATATATAGGTATGCGCTTCGAGTCAAGTCATTTGATTTTCCTCCGCTTCTCGATGTGTAATGTAAATATATAATTACGATGCTTCATTGCGGTATAAACTGCGCGCGTCTGGTTTTTTTCACATACTTTGAGCAAACGCACGAGGAGGACACCCACAACATGAGGGAGTTTAGTACACAGGTAGTAGGTATATCGCTATATTTTGTACAAGTATGCAAATCCGAGCGAATTGCAATTCACATGGAGCGGCACGTGTAGCGTATCCACACACCCAGGAGATATGTTTTTATTCGAGAATACCCAAAACTTTGTAGCAATGATCATTTATCTGTTTTTTTTTTTCCCTCCAATTAACGAAAATAACGCGGCGAGTTGTTTTTTTTTTTTTTTTTTTTCTTTGGATACGAGCTATCGGCTCACGCGAGCGCAAGA